TGTGGCAAAGAGAATGAGTGCACTCTCTTAAAAGTGCGTGAAAACAGAGAAAAAAATATGATTTTTATGACCTTTGTTTATTGCTCTCTATATATAACAAATTGTTTAAATAGTTATATATATATATATATATATATATATATATATATATATATATTAAATCTTTAAAATATGTAAATTTTCTTAATAAGAGATAAATGAAATTAGTGGGTTTCTATTTTAATGTTTTATTCTTTTCATTTCTCCATATACATCTTTCTCCATTGAAACATTTCCTCCTCCGTTTTCATTTCCACATCTATCACTATTTTCATTTTACTAGTCTTTTACTAATTCGTAAAATTCAATACCCAATGTCATTTTATTGATGTTGATTTAACTCTATATTATTTGATGTCAATTTGGTAAATGTAAATTTTCTTAAATTTTGAGTGACCCATTTTGATTTATAGACCCATTCAAACATTATTCTCATAAAATTTATTTTTTCTTTTGGATCAACTTTCTTATGCAATCTTCATTTCTTATTTGAGTTGTCAGGAAAATATTGGCTTTCACAAAAATCCATTCTCCAAGTAGATAAATTCGTTAGGAGGGTTCGAAAAAAACAGTGTGAATATTATAGTAAATTTTCTTGTGACTTAAAAACTTGTTGGACAGTGAAGAAGAAAAGAAAGTATTGAAGGTTGAAATAATGGTGAACAACAAGGAACAAGAAAAAGGAGGTGGATATGCATTTATAAATTAATCAATTGATATTAATTAATTAAAAATATTTAAGAAGAAATAATGAATAAGTAAAAAAGAAATAAAAATTAATAACATGGTGCCTACATGGTCATGATGTGGCAGTGACACTTAAGTGACTATGATACTTACGTGATGTTATAGTCTCAAGATGAGAAACAATCACTTTAAAAATATTAAGGAGTATCTAAATGCTCATATAATTTAAATACTAAAATAAATTCTCCAATCAAATTTATACGAATTTTATGTATTTTCTCTTCTATATAATATATATATATATATATATATATATATATTATTCTGACACAATGGGCGAGTAGCAAACGGGTTTAGAAAGTGTTCCCACTATGAAATTAAGAATGGTAAAGTTCATTAAGGAACATCAAAAGTAATGCTTAAAATCGGGGGGAAGCATTAAACAAACTACTTGCTAGGAATTGTTGCCAATAATTTGATTGTAATACAATAAAATATGATGAAACTGAGATTTTATTGAAAATCATTTGAGAATTTTAACTTTATTCCTTCCTTGACTTTTTTTACCTAAATATTCTTTGCGATTCGAAGGTTTTTTTTTAGCATATATTTTTTTTTAATACAGGATGATATAGACCTTTTTCTGATATATTTGACCACAAAGAATATAGAACGATACTTTATTTTGGAAAATATAATAATTTTCATTTCTTGATTCTTTTGTCGATATCAAGATTTCAATTGAAATGCTTCTTATTTAAAGGGATACGTCTCCTTTTATAGGTATAGTAAGGTAGTCTCCAAGAAATGTAGGACTTGAAATATGAAAGAAGTAAATATATGAAAAAAATCAATATATATATATATATATATATATTAATTTTATTTAAAACAATATAATTTTTCGTCGAAAAAATCAAATTCTCTCATCACCCGAAGAATTTCCTCGAATCTAGACGTATTGCCATAGTCGTAGTCATATGTTCAAATGCGTTATATATATGTTCAATATTTGATATTGCTTGCAATCTGTTATTATTTATTTTTATTGACAAACGGAACCAATGCATAAATCAGTTATATATGTTGATCAAAAATTTTGTTAGGGGTTTGATACATTCATTAAAATTAACTAATATTTAAAATATTATGTAAAATAATTAATTATTTATATCTCAAATTAAAAGGCAATAATAGGTTTTTACATAAAAGATGAGTAATTTTTATCTTTTTTGGTATTTTATTCATGCATATATTATAACATAAAATATCAAATTATATTGTTATGTATATTTTATATATATACATGCTTCACTTACACGTACCCCTTCTAATTTTTATCTCTAAAAGCTTTCAAATTGTAACAATCAACATGCTTTTTTTTTTTTAACCAAGTAGTAATTCATTAAATTAGTAGTTCGACCGGAGATATATCTATAACTCTTATTCTCTTTATCTTATTGCTTGCTTACTTTTCATCGTTTATTCGACGGAGTTAGGTGGAGATTCGTAGATTCAAACAAATTTATTAGTTTTTTCTTGTAAATTTTGTATTAGTATTAAAATAAATAAATATATACGTATTTTAACTTGTGAACCCCATAAAAAATTGATTGACAATCAATAATAAAAAAGGAGCGATAAAATATTTTCACACTAATATTATAGGTTTTGAGTTCTAACCTCGCTATCAAAATTAAATAAATGAAGGAAAGATGATAACTTTCCTCATTTGAATAAAAATCATCTTACGTAAATATCATACTCTCTTTTAGACTGCAGCAGCTTGCTTCAACATGTGATAAATATTCTTATCAATCGTCTGTATACAAAAGTACAAATCATTCTCACAAAAAATAAATAATTATACAAAAGGAGCTATTAATATTTTTAAGGATGGTTCCTATTTAATACTCTATTCCTAATTACTTGTCTAATTTTAAATTGATATATCTATTAAAAAATAATAATTAACACAATGAATTTATCATTTTAACCTATTAATTATGAAGTCAATAAGTTAAAACTTTTAAAATTTCAAGAAATTATATATTTTCAAAATTATTTAATTAAGAGAATAATATGTTTAAAATTTTTAGCACAAGTGATTAGAAACAAAAGGAACAAGTGATAAGGAGCAAATAAAAAAGGACAATTATTAGGGACAGTGGGAGTACATTGACAACCCTTTAAACTTGTATACACTTTCAATTGGTACGCAGTATTAGGTAGAATAATTAATGGATTAAAATTTTATCGAATTAATACATTATTTGATTACTTCATTTAATTTAATCCATAAATTGCTTATCCATCATATGCGATATTATCTTATCCCTTGGAAATGAAAGGATAACTAATCAAAGGTTTGTTAAATCTTGGATAAGATTCCAAAATGACTAAACTAACCCTTTATTTTATTTTATTTTAAAAATTCTTTTGTAATTTAATTTCCTTTTTATTTATATTAGAGTGGTTATAATTTTTTTTTAATTCTTCAAATTCGTTTGGTGTAATTTAATGATTTTACTAATATTTTTTCTTTATTTTTTTATATTCAAGATAATTTGTCAATTACACACATGAAGTGTTGTTTTAAAAATAAAAATAAAAATAAACTTTAGATATTAACAATTTAAGTAGTCTTAAATCTATGTTAAGTTTAAGATATATACTTAACCCACAAAAAATTAGAAATACATTGTGCTATACTGATCTTTTTACTGGTACATCATACCTTAAAACTAATAACAAATATATATATATGATTTAACTAATTAAATGAAATAAATAATTCATTAAAAAAATTATCCGGTGTGGTGGTTATCTACCTTGACCCAATTATATGAAATAAACACTCATAATAACACAAGGGTATAATAGAAAAGAATTTTTTTGTATAATTATAAATTAAACACAAAATTAAGGGAAAATATTAATCCTGCATTACTAATCTCTGCATTATTAATCTATGCATTTCTAATCTCTGCACTATCAATGTTTGTACCTGGCGATCCCTAAAACTCTCACTTGTTACAATTAAGGGAAAATAAATATTTGTACCTTATTTACAAGCGGCTATTCATTCTTTCATACGTCCATATTTTTAATTAATAATGTGTGTTTATTGCTTGATATAATAAAAAGTTTATAAATATTTTAATGATATCAAAGAGGAAGAAATGTCTACTCCTTGAAAACACTATTCAATTACTCATTTATAACATTAGGATATATGTATACACACACATTTTAATGGCACTAGGCAGTGCTTCAGTGAAAAGACTGTCAATTATTGCTCGATACCATTAGACTATATATAAACTCTCTTGTTGAGAATCAAGAATGAAGAAATAGTGGTTCAATTATTAGAACAATGGGCAGTAGCGCAAAGATGTATTTGGGTCGTGGATTCAATAAATGTAAATATATTGAGTTGGGTCCAATTTGGATAAATACTTTTTCTATTGGATTCAATTTATGTAGTTTTTTCTATAATTAATTGAGCGTCTGAATATATAATTAAGTGTTTATATACATTTGGTTAAATTCTAAAAGAATTTTGCCCATATTCTCAAATATCTATTAGGTAGTTATGTTTAACATCTATTAAATAACGGAAAAGGGCCTAAAATACCCTTGAAGTATTGAAAATGGTACACAATTACCCTCCATCCACCTATTGGCCCCTAAATACCCTTCACATCCACCTTTGGGTCCAAATTTACCCCTTCATTAACATACCAAAATTAAAAATAATTAAATAATAATTTTTAATGACGTGGCACTCAACGATTGGTTGTAATTTAATTATTTAAAATAATTTTAAACCCACCCATTACCCATCCATTTTAACTAAACCCACCCATTTTAACTAAACCCACACATTACTTTCCCATTCATTTTTCCCTTATTACCCTTCTCTCTCCTAACTTTCCCATTCATTTTATAAGGGAAAGTTAAAATGGGTTTTTTCCCTTGTTTTATTAGTTATGAAGTAAGTTAAAATTATTTCTTAGTGAAGTCTTCCTCAATTTACACAGATTTTCTCGGGAAAACATCTTATTCTGTTTCTTTAATCACATGTCTCGGATTTTTCGTCTCTGAATACAGAGTAGTCTTTGTTAGGGATCTAGACTACCAAACACTATCCATGTGTTTGGCAGAATCCCGTTAAAAATCTACGTATAAATAATTTATCGAAAAAATTAATTGAACTTTTTTTTGTTAGAATCTAGGACTCATAAATTCAAAATTGTGGATTGTTACGGCTTGTAATGTACTCAGTTTTTATGTAGTACTGCTAATTAGTTTTTGTAATATTCAAACTTATGCAGAAAGTGAAAGAACATGGGGATAGAAAGTGAAGTACCGGAATCAGGCGAAGAAATTGTGTGTGCACAAAAGACGATTTTCTGCCGGAGGAGTTCAAGAGCTGGGGAAATTACGCGAATGCGCTGAGGCAAGAGAAGGATAATATGGGAAAAATGAATGGGAAAGTAATGGGTGGATTTAGTTAAAATGGGTGGGTAATGAGTGGGTTTAAAATTATTTTAAATAATTAAATTACAACTAATCGTTGAGTGTCACGTCATTAAAAATTATTATTTAATTATTTTTAATTTTGGTCTGTTAATGAAGGGGTAAATTTGGACCCAAAGGTGAATGTGAAGGGTATTTAGGGGCCAATAGGTGGATGGAGGGTAATTGTATACCATTTTCAATACTTCAAAGGTATTTTAGGCCTTTTCCGATTAAATAATGAAGTTAACTACATAAACTATATTATTTTCTTTAATACTAACTTCATTTAGAAAGCACATGATGTTTTTTTTTTTGGTTTATTGAGGTCAACACGAATACATATTTGTTGAGTTTATCTATAAAGATTAATTCATTTTCCTTTTTATTTTTTTTTGCAAAAAATGTTTTTTTTTTCAATTAGAAACAAATTAAGATTTGTTTTGCACCATTATTTATTTTATTTTAAAAAAATAATGTTCTCTTAAATTTAAGTCTAACCAAATAATGTCATGAGAGGGAGATAGTATTTATCAATAAAATTTGAATGACAGATTAAGTTTTCCATATAATTCAATTGGTATTAGAAAAATAATATAAAGATGACAGAAGTACTAGCTCCTTTTTCTGATCACCAGGTGCTGCGGCTTATTACAAAACATTTGTTTATACACACACAAAAAGATTCTCCCTTCTCTTCGCCTCTCTTATTATTAATTTACAATTATAACTTGAATTTGAAGAAAATATAGTAAACAATTAAATTATTAAGAATAATGGAGGAAATTATGTACGAATTTGGTGGTTACTCCGATAATCATGATTTGGAGGCGCCGGAATATTTTGAATGTCCGCCGGAGGCGTTTTCCGATGAGGAATTATTTGGATCGGCCGGAAACACTAGGTCGTTGGAAGTAATTTCAGCTACTAATTCATCAATAGTAGAAGAAGAAAATATTCAAGCAAAGATCTCTTCTCATCCTTTGTATACTAAACTTCTTCTGACTTATCTCGATTGCCGCAAGGTAACTTCATTTAATTTATTTTTTTCATTTAGAAAAATCGATAGATTGAGGGGTTCGAGTTAGTCGAGTGAGTCAAAGCACTGTTGAATGAAAAATCTTCAAGAAATTTACCTTTGATTTAGGGTTTTGAAGTGCGCAACTTTCTAGGGTTAATAAGAAATGGAGTACTAATTAATCTTATTTGAAATTTTTTACTGATAATTATAAGTTTATAGTAAGATTTTATTTACTTAATTATATATTCTTTGTAGGTGGGTGCAGCACCTGAGATTGTGGATATGTTGGACAATATTGTCCAAGAAAATGATCTTCATAGGAGATCAATCAGCAGCACTGCCTTAAATCAACCAATCAGTGACGATTCTGAGCTAGATGATTTCATGGTAAAAAATAATTTAAATTCATCCCTTTAATTATCATTTTTTGTATGTTTTAGGGGTTTTGGGGATATATACATATGTGTAATTTCATAACTGGAGTCTGGAGAGGATAGTGCACTGTTTTACCTCTTCTTTGAGAAAATTAAATGTTATTACGATAGACCTATGGTTCAAGTAAAACATAATAACAAATCAAGTATGTATTGAAAATACAGAGATCTACCACAAAAGCAAAAGTAATTTGTAGATGTGTTTGTTTATATCTTTTCGAGTGATTAATGTTGATGTACTACGCAGGTAACTTACTGTGATGTTTTGGCTAAGTTGAAGTTGGATCTGGGAAGGTCTTTCAATGAAGCAACTACTTTTCTTAACGATATTCAAACTCAACTTACCAATCTCTCCACTACAACAAATATCTCAGGTATCTCCTCCATACATAACTACAGACTAGTACTCCAATCGTTTCAATTTATATGATATTTTTTATTTTTTCGTGATTTAAACTATGTGAACTTTGACTAACATTGTTCTAAAATGTATTATTTCACATCTAGTATAATCACACAAAGTAGGGTACTCTCAGTGTACCCAGACTTTACCTCTAAGAGGTTATTTCTGAAACACGCTCGACTCAAATAATAGTGCAAAACAGTAAAAAAAAACAAAAGCAAAAGAAGTACAAAAAATAAAGGATATTGACAAAAATAATATATATTTCATTATATTAACATGGGAAGAATTTCAACCAATGATATTTTCGTATAATTTTTGAATATATCTAACATCCACAATTAGATCACGGATAATATACACCATGGAGCTCAGCACCGGGGAAAACCAAGAAATATGTGTCTAATTTAGATGTCATGTTAAGAAAATAGACTTTGGTGCTGACTCAATCTCAAAAGCTTGCTTAAGATATGAGAATGGTCCAAGACTCGAATAGAAGACTAAGATTCAAAGAGTGTGTTTGGTATTATTATGCACCTTAGTTTAAGTTAAGTAGTACAAGATTCAGAAGTTCTTTTGATCTTCTTGCACTTCAGGTCAAATCAAATTAACTAAGACACATAAAATAATAAATAGATGGAAGTAATCCAAGTATTTGACTTTAATTTGCTTTATTGCTCAAAATGCTTCTATGTAACTGTACTTTTATTGTTCTCTGGCTTTATTGTTGTACTTTTTTTTCCTCTGGCTTTATTGTTGTTTCTAATAGTAGTAGTAGTAATGGTGAAAAAGTGAAATGCAGAAGGTGAATCCTAGATTTACTATAGAAATAACAAACATTTTGAATATGGTACAAGAAATTATAATAAGTTAATGACCTTGAATGAGATAAAATACTAATGTCTACAATATTAATCCACATGATCTATGATGAGTTGCATGCATATAATAAGGTAGCTTTGTTAGGTTCTTTTTAGTTTTATGAATACTTGATAGTTAATTCCTTGAACTATATGCATAGATTGGGTAAGAAAAAAAACACAATTACTATCTCACAAGGCTAGCTGACATGACACAGGTACTTATAAAATATAGCCGTCGTAATGCATAAATATTTCTTTTAACTTGATCTTAGCTGATATGTATACTCTCTAACTTTTGAGTGTGTATAAGTAGACATTGTCCTTCAAATGAGGTATCATACGCTCCACTTTCTGCAAACTTCACTTATAAAATTAGACACAAATATTATTATCTCTCATATGATTTTATCCCACTCTTCAATATGATACTCCAAATAAAAATTAGGAATTATAATTAGTTAGGGGATGGATTCAAATGAATACAAGAATATCACATTTGAAATTAAACCAACAATCGAAAGTAATTTTTCAAGTCCCTTGACTAAAAAAATGGAGAGAAATCTTATAGAGTAATTAATTAGTTTAGAAGGAATATTAGGTTATTAATTAAATATAGTAAGCATGTGATACGGTGACAGAATGAAGTACAATAAAAAGTTAAGTTTCCAATACATATCTCCATGATCTTGTCAAACATCCAATAGTTTGAATCTTCGATTCATCATTGTCTCTAAATCTCAACTTTAAACTGATTTATGGAGTAATTAAATAGTATAAAAGTCATGGCCGTATACATTATATATTCAGTTAGTACACAAAGAAGTTACGTACCTCAATGTTTAGATATTTTAGTTTAAATTTGCTTTTGTTGCTTAATTAATCAAAAGAAATTAAGTATGTGGTCTTTTGGTTATTTTAACTACTTATAGTTCAGTCTAGAAAAGCTGTCATTCCATGCATTAATGTTGGAGATAATTTGTAGTGACAGATTTATGACATTAAAAGCTTATTATATTAACAGATTATATGTGAAACTTTACCCATTTTAATGAGTCAAATGAATTTTTTTTTTGTTACTATCTTTTTAAATATTTTGAAAAATATTATTATTGTAACTTATGACTCTTTTTAGTAGGTCTTCAAATATATAAATTTTATTATATAAAAATCTACCGATCATTTCATATTTGGATTCAGCATTAAAATTTACAATTTGATTCTCAAAACTCCAACTTACTATACCAAAATACATACTATTATATTTCTATATTTTTCTTGCATTTGTCTATATGAGTACTATATATGTATTTATTTTATTGATTTAGTTTTTTGTTTTATCTTTCAATTTTTGAGTTGCGTGAAATGACTTTAACACTACAATGAAAATAATTTTTAGCGGTATTAAATATTGACATTAATAAAAAGTGCTAAAGTCTTTATCGACATTAGTTAAGTGTCATTAAAATCAAATTTAGGGACATATACAAAGAAAATGACAATTTATCACTAAAAATACATATTTTAGCGACTAAATTGCTGCTAATAATCATTTTTGTTGTAATGTAAATTTACTATTTATAACAAGAACAAAAAAATACTATATTAAATATTATCATTTTATAATCATAAAATTTAAATTCAAACAAAGCCGATATAAACGGTTCGAGCAATAAAAGAAACACCAAAAGATATATAGAGAGAGTGTACCATACCTATTTGATTCTCTGACTCTGAAACGACATAACGAACCTACGCCTTTATCACGTAACCTGGTCTTGTCCTTTACTTCAATATTTTATCGGTTTATTTTTACTTTTTTGACATTCATTTTATGAAAGTGATTTGATTATTTAAACGTTGAATTGGATACAATATTTTAAATTTATATGTAAAATAGTATAAGTTGCATTCCTTCCATACGTAATTAATACGACGAAACATATATTTTATGATATTTGATTCTCAAACTGTTATTCCTACGAACAAAACCATATATACTAGTAATGAAGTATAATTCGTAGCTAATTTTAATTTAATTTTTTTTCTGTTGAATACTTTGAAAGAAGAAGACGCGGAGGCGAAGGCGGAGGCGGAGGCGGAGGCGGAGGAAGGTGATAGACTGGGTGGTAGGGGCAATAATGGGCAGCAGCAGAAGAGTAGTGATGAATCAGGGAGTGAAGTAAAGTTTTTAAAGGATAAATTAATGGAAAAGTACAGTGGATATATAACAAGTTTAAAGCATGATTTTTGCAACAAGAATTATAACAAGGGGAAGCTACCAAAAGAAGCAACACAAATTTTGCTCAACTGGTGGACTACGCACTATAATTGGCCGTATCCTACGGTAGATAAAAGTTATTTTAGTAATTCAGATGAATTTCTAAATTTTAGAATTGATTGAGTTTTTTTTTTAATTGTGTGGTGAATGCAGGATGGAGAGAAAAAAAGTCTAGCAGAATTAACAGGTTTAGATCCAAAGCAGATTAACAACTGGTTCATAAATCAACGGAAACGACACTGGAAATTACCTTCACAAAACATGCAATTTGCTCTTATGGAAACCACCATATATGGTCACTTTTCTCAATAATTTTTGTGTATATAGTACCAAACTAAATATCTTTCCACCAATTTATGTGGTTTTATTTCTAACAAAATTATGGTTCTAACTCCAAGTTTCAAAGATTTTATTGAGGATTTACAAATTTTATGTAATTTCGTGTTTTGAGCTTGTTTATATTGTCGATCTTAAATTTGAATAAATGAAAAGAAGTGTCGATACTTAATTGGAAACAACATCTTTATAGGGTAGCGTGCATCTTACCTTCTCCATATTCTCCATATTCCACTTGTGGATAAGAGCAGTGCGGTAGCCACATAGTGGTAAGGGTGTCCAATTGGGCATCCTTCGTCCGAAAAAATAGCATATACATAAGTAAAATGATATTCGAAATGGTTAAATAACATATTTTGAATAGTCTTAACATAACAAACTGTTATTTCTGAATACCATTTATAAAAATTTTGACTCCACTGCAAAATATGAGATAATATTTTATAGGGTTAAATTGAGGTATGTCATACGTGAATCTGTGCTCTTTAGGTAAAACAAAATATTTTATGTACATATATATTCTATAACTAATACTGTGAATGTGCTCCTAAAATATTTTATGTAAAATTTATATTGCAAATAACATATTATCACCTTCAAATTTATTGGTATTTATTAATTTTTTTTAATCATTTTTACTATAGAAAGTATGTATATCTTTCTAATAAAAAGAATATATTCTTAATTGAAAATTGACTAAAAGTGTACAAAGAAAAAATCGTACAAATATAATATTCAAATAAGAATACTAAAATTTTATATGCTAGGCTAATGTATGCAAAATAATAAATTATATACATTCTCAATAATAATAACAACAAAATAATAGAAAGTTGTATAATAACAACACATAAGAAACATAAACACTAAACAAAACAAACAAAAGAGACAAGATAAGAGAGCATATAAATTTTCTCCTTTTTTTCAATGTTTTTAAGTGTGTATAATATTGTGTCAAATATCACTATTTATAAGAAATAATTGACAAACATAAAGAGTTGACATAAATATGACATTAATTCATTTGAGATCATAGATGAAGATGAGGCTGTGATTAAAAAATTATAACAAATATAATCCGTGTGAGTTACATATATTCACATTATGGAGAGTTAGTAATAATAAAATTTTACGTAATATACTTTAGAGGAATACAAATATTTATATATAAAAAAGAATATAATATAGAGTAAATATAACCATTCATATTTACTGTTAGAATTTGAACTAATGGAAAATTCATTAATTTACTATAACATGAAATTAATAGAAAGAATACATATTCAAGAGACTTTTAGGTGATTGATGATTTGTTATTTAATATTTACTTTATTAAATAATTTATAATATTTAAATTTAATGTAAGACTTAGATCTTTATCTAACCTTTGTCTGAAATTCTTGTCATTATTAATATGATATAATGATGATTAGTAGCACACTATTATTTAATTTGCTCCCACCGTGCTATAATAAGGTTAAATGGTGATCATTTCTCACATTTTTCCTGCCTTTTTTTTTTTGTTGGCACACCCATGTTATTGGATTACACCAGGTCTTTTTACTCCTGCCAAATTTTTTTTATCTTTTTGCTTTTTTGGTGATTCAAATTCGTAACATTGAAAGTGAAGAATGCTTATCATCTGAATAACTTCCTCTCTTGTGGAATTACACCAGTTTGTTATTATTATTGACAAATTTTATGTTTGATCTTCACCTTATTTGCTATCCCAAGCCACTCTTTTGTTCCGCTAGACTGTAGACCGATAATGTAAGTAAGCTCATACTTACTATTCATTTGTTACAACGGATGATAAACATAAACATAAATAAAAATTCTTCTATAAATACGTATATAAAAATCGAGATGAAAACAACGGTCACCCTACATCTGCTGCTAAAAATGTGGATTTATCCTGGAGTTATAGTTTTAGCTTAATAGAAATGAACATATTAATGATACAGATTAATAATAAAGTATAAAAATTATCAAAAAAAAAAAAAAGAAAAAAGCCAACATCTTAAATGATTTAATTACCAAACACCATTATGATTTAAGAGCTGAGATGGAACCTAAAAATTAATATTAGCCATTTATATTATTATGATTTCATCGAAAATCATTAAGATTACATTCAATTTTCCCCAAACGGGATAGTCCCGTTATTTTCTTCTCTCTTCCTCAGCGAAAAAAATTAATTTTTCACAAACACATTTATGCATTCTCATGTGTGTTTGCATAAAATAAAAAGAGAAAGGAAGAAGAAGAAGGAAAGGTGGAGAAAATTGAAAATAAACTCCAATTTTAGATATTTTTCCATAAACATCTTTTTTCAATCCTTTACAAACATGTTTTTTATTTGTTACAGAAATACCAAATTGTTCATTGTACAAATGGAACATATAGAGTAGCTTAGCATCATCAATCTTTGTCCTGTTCTCGTTACGAAGAAAAATTCAATGCCTTTTGCACCAATATACCTTGAACATGTTACGTTCATGTCTACAATTATTTTCATATTTATGATCCTCCGTCTCTTTGTGATCCGAGAGCTTCTGTTGCGAATATTTCTTGCAAGCCTCGAGCAAATGTGGCGATTAATGTTGATTTAACGCCAAAATTTACACAACTTATGGAGACTCTCCATGATTTCATTGTGCAAAACAAGTCTGCAACGTATGATATGAATACGAATGCACCTGATATTTATGGAATGGTGAAATGCCATAATGATCTTTCTCACGATGATTGCAAGCTCTGTTTTGAAGAAGCTAAAACTAAGCTAACAAAATGTATTCCTGCTCCTGGTGGCTCTGTTCATCTAGACGGTTGTTTTCTCAGATATGAAGATTATACTTTTTTCGATGAGAGTATACAGAATAATTCGTCTGTTTATGTTTGTGGTGCTCCCACGGATATAACGAATGATCAGTACATGAAGAGGGATTTTGCTGCAGGAGTTGATCGTGCAATTGTGAATGTTACAAGCACGTCGATAGTCAATGGTGGATTCGGGGCAACGATTGTGAAAAGTGGATTGCTTGCTATTTATGCATTAGGACAATGTTGGGATTATTTGCAACCCGAAATATGCACAAAGTGTTTGAACGATGCTGGAGATATGCTAAGGAAATGTTTGCCTGCTGCAGACGGAAAAGCTATGAATGCTGGTTGCTATTTGAGATACTCTTCTAATAAATTCTTCGAAGATGGAGCACTAGTCCTCGCTGATAAAGGTAACACGAAAGAATTTCTTGTTAATTAGTCTCTGGAACACTAACCTCCCACTATGCACGGGTTTAGAAAAGGAAATATTTGTTACTTGTATACGTATTTTTTAGCTAACATTTGGTCTGGTGTTCAATTTTTTTTTCAGGACCAACAAAGTCTAAGAATGTATGGGTAATTGCAGCGATTGTATTATCGTCTATCTTGGGAATATTTGCTATTTTAGGGGCCTTTTTAGGCTATAGAAGATATTCTCAGGACAAAGGAGGTATACTTTCAAATCTTGAATTTCATAAATCAGTTTCTGTTTGTTCATGTTCTGATGGATCTTCTGCTTATCGCGATATATATAGGTGCAAATAGGATTCATAAGATTCCACTGGCTCTTGAGACGTCGAAACTAAATTTCAAGTATGAAATGCTAGAAGAAGCAACAGGGGGGTTTGATCCTTCAAACAAGCTAGGCCAAGGTGGATCTGGTTCAGTATATAAAGGGATTCTTCCTGATGGCAAAACAATTGCTGTGAAAAAGTTATTGTACAATACGCGTCAATGGGCAGAGGAGTTCTTCAATGAGGTCAATTTGATCAGTGGTATTCAGCACAAGAACGTTGTGAAACTATTGGGATGTAGCATAGAAGGACCCGAGAGTCTTCTGGTTTTCGATCATGTATCTAACAGGAACCTTGATCAATTGCTTTTCGGTAACTATTCTACAAGTTTAATCTAACTAGTAGTAGTATTTTACTGTACCTTTCTAGGGACGGATTCAATGATTTGATTGCTTTTTCTTGAAGATAAGAACAAACGTCAATTTTTAAGCTGGAAAGAGCGATTTGATATTATATTGGGAATAGCAGAAGGGATAGCACATCTTCATGAAGGAAGCAAAGCAACGATCATCCACAGAGATATTAAAAACAGTAATATTCTAGTTGATGATGAACTCGTCCCAAAAATAGCTGATTTTGGACTTGCTCGACGTTTTGCTCCCAATAAAACTCATGTCAGCACCGGAATTGCAGGAACATTGTAAGTTATCAATGTCTGAAATTGGTTCTTCTACAAGAATACTTCTAGTCTATAATATGATTAACTCTGTTGTAGGGGATATCTAGCTCCTGAATATCTTCTTCAAGGATGTTTAACAGAGAAAGCAGATGTTTATTCATTTGGAGTGGTGGCCATAGAGGTTGCGTGTTGTATAAAGAGCAACGTCTTTGTGAGTGATAACGGATCAGTTCTACAATCTGTAAGTCTCAAAACCATCTTTATTCAGTAACAAACTTAAGCTTTTAGATGATCAGTTGGTCATATAGTTTGTGTTTTCTTAACTCTTGTAATAGGTGTGGAGAAATTACAAGTTGAATAAGATTACGGAGTCAATTGACAGTAGGCTGATGAGTGACTTTCAAGAACAGGAGGCATCGCGTGTGCTTCAGATAGGACTATTGTGCACACAAACCAGAAGATTTTCGCGACCATCTATGTCTCAAGTGGTAAGGATCCTAAGAAACGAAGAAATTGAAATTCCAACGCCAACGCAACCTCCATTCCAGAACTCAAGTTTACTAGCTCCTCCAGATACAAGTAGTTCATCCATAACCAAAGATAGTCTCTGCTCAGAATGGTATTCCACAGATGGAATTTCTATTCATTCTTCTGAGTTTGCCAGCATTTCTAGTTCTCAATCAGGTGATTTTTCGACGTGTGAAAACAGTAGACTTTTGAAAATTGCTTGAGGATTTTGGTTGCTTGCAATTAGTCCTCTTCAGGGCAATGAACCAAAGATCAATGACATGTAAATCACGGCATTGCTTTCGTTGGTGTAACTGTAACTGTAACTATACAATTCAAGAGGATGAAATAGATTGAATCGATAGAGCTGTTTATGGAAATGTTACATTGCGAGTACCCGAAAATGTTATTCAGTTTCTTGTCCTGATATAATGGTCTCAGTAGTTGAGCTTCTCTGAAGCAAAAGACTAGTATTGAATTCAGGTGACAAGAGACAAAAACAAAGTTGATTGCTCATATGGCAGTCACGCATCTAACGGTTATTATCTCAGAAAATCACATTTATTACTAAAGGAAATTGGAATGAAGAAAGATTTCTCAGATAATAACTATAAGTTGATTGACTATCTGAGAGAAATATTAGATGGTCGTTGTCTAACTTTTTCAATAACTATAAAATTATAGACCATGATTTTAATGTTTTCTCATGCTCAAATTGGATCATTAGACCATGATTTAAAGGCCCATATTTCATAAGTTGCAATATGGAGGTCATTTACTGATGAAAATTTGTGTATTAAATTGAAAACATAACAAATTACTCCATATGTACCTTGCCTATTTGGGAAGTCTGTGTAACCCAAATTTGTCCATTAATAACTTAATAAGAACTTGTCGTATTGGTCTCTTATTTTTGAATATTTATGATGCTGAATGGGTAGTGCAACATATTTTTTTAAAACCATAAAAAGAAAAGACCAAATTTCCATTAAAAAAATGATAGACGCAGATTCTTATTTGGCAAAAATCCATTGAAGGTGTACTTTTTAATGGAAATTTTAGAATTTTCATATTTTTTTTAAATTTTGTGTCTAGTCAAATTATGTCATACATATTGAGACGACTATTATTTTATCTAAAACAACATATTAGCTACCATCCAGTCAGCCTACCCAAAATGATGATATTTTTATATTGGAGTATTTAATTCCAACCATGTTCCTACAAAACTCCCTATATAAAACGCAAATATAAACCCTAGTAAAGCCTCATTTGAGTGTTCGCCTCCTTTGCTTCTTTCTTTTTTCTGAAATATTTTTTTCATTTTACAGTAATTTTTTTGTTTCACTTCATGGATTTTTATGTATATATCTCATTCAATATAAACATATTTTCTTTTTGCATCATTTTTTTTTATGTACTAACAAAACATGTAGTTTTATTTGTGATGAAATAATGTGCAAAAACTTCCATCCGCTTGTAAAGCAATAATGAGCAAAGCGGCCATATTTTTGCACAAAGGGAAATTAATGCTTTGAGGAATTAGGTGGTGTGCCTTTTTCTGGATCTAAAAGGTTCAACTTTACTTATAATTTTGACCTTCCTAGATTCAAAGGGCAGACATTGAAGATTTTTCATGTCAACATTATAATCAAATATTTTTCGTAAGATTTTTGAGTTCAAGTCCCGAATATAGAGAGAAAACTTCACCATCAAATACGAGACTTTCCAGTTCAGACACCGGAAGGTAAACCAATTTTAAAAAGGGAAACTTTTATGCTCACTCCAAAAATAAGTTAGATATATTGCTCAGGGTAGTTAAATAAGTTATTTAACAATCCTCCAAACAAAAGGAACCAGGATACAAAGATGCCCTATTGCCCTTAACATCCTACTGACATTGCTAAGACTCAAGAGGATTTAATTAGTTACATAAGTACTAGTTCTAAAGCAGCTAATTAATATTACAGTAGAGCTGGATATTGATTAGCCTGCGCCCTCACTCGTTTCTTGTACTCAGTTTTATCTTGCAAGAGTGATAATCGCAATATTATTATTCATAATGACGGTTCAGATAAATTTGGGAAGACATTTCGATTAAGAATTCTTATAGAGGACGGTGGTTATGGAGAGATCTGACTCTGTTGGGCAATATGCATAGATGATTCAAGTACAACAACTGACAACATTGTAAGGATTAGGTGTAAGAAAAGAAATCCGGGAAGTGATGAATGTGAAAGACGAAAATTGACTAAAAACGTGTCAAACTCAAGTACGATACCTTCTTCACATAGAGCTTATAGCACTCAGATTGTGCTGAAGAACTTGGATTTGGCTCGTCGAGTAGTTCTTGGATGCCCACCAAAATTTGTTTAACTGTAATGGCTGGACTCCACCCCTAGGAAAAGGTATTTGCAACAATTTAGAGGTGTAAATACAAATCAGCAACAGAGGACACAATGCAATGGCAGCAATAAGTACTTACCAAGCCCGTGTTGAGGATAGACAAACATACATCTCCTGAAGGATAAACATTTATATGAAAGAAACCTCGAGGAAACTTGCACTTCGGGGGTTGACTAGGATAGTCTTCACTGAAGTGCATAGTCAGTGGATAGTGACCTCCCTCCCAGTCGGTCTGTAAAATTTGAACATTATTCTTCACAGTCGCACTCAAGAAATAAGATGAAAAAGAGGATTTCGATTACAGTAAACACAAGCCTTACCCAATCACTAAATTTCCAAAAAAGAAAGTAAAAGACTTAAAAGTAAGAGCAAATGATTCAACAACTCAAAAGTTAGAAGGAGAAAGCACTTCTACACAAGCAATGTGTGACAGATTGATCAAGTAATCACGGAAAGTGTCTAGTGTGATCATTTCATCACTACATAACTAGTCAATGTGTCGAAAATTAATAGGGATCGCAAAATTAGGAAAATCCACCTGAATTTCAACTAGAAAGAATTGTGATCCAAGAGGGAAACACGAAAGCCAATTGGATGTAAGGGGACAAAAATATCACATTTTTTCGTGTTATGTGCAGCTTGTTACTCAGACCTGTTACTTGTTTGAGGCAAACGACATGAACTGTGATTCGATACAAATATTAGTACCATTGAGATTCAAAGTCTATTTCAAGGACCTGGAGTCTATCACAGAACAACAACAAATTGATTCAGATATCATCACTATATTTACACCTCTGAGATTGACAAAGTCATCTAGCACTATTCCCATAGCTTCTAGTTCTTTGATTTCGCTTATCATATGTGCTTTTTTTTGTGCTTCTGTTATTGCATTATTTCATTGTCGTTACTGTTCTTTTTTCTATACGTTGTGTACTGCTCTTCATTTAGCATTTTTTCGGTGTTGTTACTGCTCTCGTTTTTGTATTCCCTTTTTCAAACAGTTAGGAAATTTTTACTTAAGTCTACGGCCTATCAAAAACAGCCCCTTTATTTTTACAAGGTAAAGGGATAATGTCTGCGTACATTCTACCCTCCCTAAACCTCACTTGTAGCATTACACAGTGTATGTTGGTTAAGATTGATCAAAGAGATGAATACCAATTAGCAGACATCCAGCTTTTTCTCATAAATTTCAGTAATTCAGGTGTTCACGAGACTAGCTGAAACTGTTAGTAGACTCAACTCCATGATTTCTATCTGGAATCAACCAGTACTAAACAATAACTATAATCAGCAAAGAGATATTAATTGCTAAGCGGAACACGAACATTATGAATGAATTTGTTACTTTTTCTTGAATTGCAGATATATTTTTAACTTTTTCTCCATTGTGCCTTTTTTTCTACCAAAATTCACAACTTTAACAGCAGGGAGCACTATATAAAGCTTTTCACCTCTAACAACATATATATATATATAGAAAATAGAGAGGACCAACAGTAATACAGATTCTGAAGCCTAGGACAAAAACTAGCACAAGTACTCCGATCATGTACTACAATTCAAGGAACAAATCCCGAATTTAACTCACTATATTTTTAAGGATAGGCCAAAATAGATGCACCAAAACAGTTGCATCTACCCCGAGTAATTCTTCTATTGCCAATATTACTGTGGAGTTATAACCGTGTTTTTCCATAAGCTCACAAATATATTTTGGGTTTTTTCGTTTTTCAACTTTTATTTTTCATTAACCAACTGTATTACTGTATTATATATTTTGGGCATATATTTTGGGCATATGACAAACATCAATACATATGTATATTGGGCACATGACAAACAGATACCACAGTAACTTCAGAAAAATTCACAGTAAAAAACTTACCCCAGGTTTACCCGGGATAATACAACGCCACAACATCAAATTGGCAGACCCATCAGGACCAGTCTCCGGCCTTGCCACAAAACCCTAACCATAAAAACATTGACATAAACAAAAATTAATTTGGTTTAACCCACCAAAATTCCACATTGAGATAAAAAAAAAACCCAATTTCCTGTTGATATTAAATTAAGAATGAAAAAATATTTATTTCGATTTCGATTTTTTAATTAAAAATAAGAGTAAGATTACAAGGAACGCACATGTGGGTGATTCTTACGCCATGCTTTCCTCTCCTCAGTGAGACGGCCACGCGCGATCCCACCAGCCATGTTTTTTTCTGTCAAAATCAATGGAGTTATGAACTGAAGCTAAAAGGTTTTTATTTATTTATTTATCTATTGCTTTTATACACTTGTTATATTTTGTAAAATCTTGATTTATATCATACCTGTCCTTAATTATAGTTTATTGATAACTTTTCAAAATACAAAAGATATACTTCTATGAGATAAATAAATAAAATACATCCGTGACGACATGGATTTAATATGTATTAGTTTTTGCTTTAAGTTATATGACATAAATTTACAAAGTTTATTGAAAATTTTATAAGTTTTTTATTAAAAAAAATAATTTAAACAGTTTATTATTGTGATTTATAGAAATTTTTGAATTAATATATTATACTCGATCTGTCATAATTTATATGATATTGATAGGATTTTGAGAGTATTCAAATTTATTTACATATTTTTTTTATATTTTAAGTTGTTAATTATTGTAATTTATATAATTTTATAATTTTCAATAATACATGTTACTTTTTCTGTCTCAATTTATATGACAATGATAAAATTTTGAGAATTAATTTAAGAAAATCATATGATTTTTAAATATAATTAGTTATTGCGATTTTCCATATTTTTTAATTTAAAATCATAAAAAATAACGGACTAAAAATATTAAAATAAATAAATTTAAAGAGAGAAAATATTGATTTTTTTAAGAAATATCATTGAGTAAAAGCAAACGTAACAAACAATTGCCGTTTTTTAACCGATTCCATAAAAGTCCTAATGCTAAACATATAATGACATCATAAAAATTGAACTAACTTAAAAGATTTTCAAGGGATATATCAATTAAAATTATGAAAAAATTATTGAAATACACGTCAAAAGCATCTAAAATTTCTTGTTTAATTAATGTATTCGAGCTAATGTATTTTAGTCAGTATTTAATGTATCCGAGCTATACATTATGTATCTAATTTATATTATAATTTATTCGAGATACTCTTTTATATATTCAAGCTACATATTATGTATCTGATTTGTGTTACTTTTTAAGAGATCAATGTAATTACAAAATTAACGAGGGATAAATTATATTTCATATTAAAACTAGGAGATTTATGTAAATTATTTCTTTCTTAATTATGTATAGAAATATTTATTTAAATTAAATTAAAATAAAAAGGCTAAATGAACACCAAAATGAGTAGTATTTTTATTGAAAACTCACATTATTAATCCCTGAGTATGAACTCAAAAAGAGGTATTTATGTATTGATTGTAAAAAATATATTATGTTTTTGTTTTAATTTAAGTGATATATTCTTGTAAGGCATAAAGTCAAAGAGGGGAAAAATTAACTCTTAAAATTTATAATTTAAACAACTTTTGACCTTTATTTTGATTTATAAATTATTTTAACCAAAGGTAGAGATATTTTTTTAAAATTATGTTTGTTCCTATCACAGAGAATTTTGGAGAGTAATATTGATATTTAACAACACGGAATAACGCCTTTTTTTTTTTCAAAATCAGAAAACGATTTTATAAAAAGGGACGATAGAATATAAAATTTCATAAAATAAAATAAGATATAGCTAACTAGACAGTTTTAATCCTAAAATTAAAAAAAAAAGGAATATTTAGAATAACTATAAAATTATTCAAAAGCCCAAACATTCTCGTTGCGGATCTCTTCTTCTTCCTCTGGAGTAAAATCATTTTCGATATTAAATTCTTTACGTATTTCTTCTGGTGTTTTCCCTTTAATCCTATTAGCAACTTCTTGACAGATCATATCCAACATCTCCGCATCGTTAAGAAAATTAGCAGCTAAGATAAGAGCATACAAAATCGATTGGTCCACCTTCACAAAAGCCTTGTCAAAGTCCATCAATTTGTCTTTGGAGATGCCTTCCTCGGAATGTTTCTTCCAGTACTCAATCACTTTGATCATTGTTTTACTATCGACATTAGGCAGGGGAATGACGTTTGAAACGCAATCATCTTCAACCATATTCTTAATAGTTTGTGACCTTATGGCTATCGCCTCGTCCAATACAAATTCCTCCTTATCGTTAGTCTTTAAAGTTAAGAACTTTGTCGAAGAAGACATGATGATTAAAATATATGTGAATAAACTCAAAAGTTCTTGAAGTTTACTTCAAGTTCCGAGTTTCTGTATTTTGAAAATAACTAACAACATCCCTATTTATAAAAGTAAGAAATCAAATTAAAATAGGATTAAGAATCACTTTAACTAACAAATTATAATTAAATATAAATAAGTAAATACCGTAAATAATAAATTTTAAATACCTAGAATTCCTACTTCAACATTGAATTATTATTTCCTACGGAAGGAAACAACATTTACTATAGTATTTAGTAGAATAGTAGTTGAGTTACTATTAGCGCGTTACTTTAGTATATGATTGACAAAATATTATTTTATTTTATGGAAGAATAAGTCCTAAAGCTATTAACTTCTTCATATCTGGATTCTGGCCACACATGATATTTTAAATTTTTTAGAAAATATAAGTAAAAAAAACACATAACATAAAACACGTGAGGAAAAAGAGAAATCAAAACATTTTTTATTTAATGACGTTACCCTCACCTTTTTGTAAATTTGATTTCTTGAGTCAAGTTGTCAATTAAAGCATGCATTTCCCTATTTTTCTTGAAATACTAATAATTATGGAGTGGAAAACATTGACTATGTATGTGGTAACTAGAGATCTTCTAGATTTGATATTTTTTTTTAATTTTTTTTTTTGTTTGAAATTGATGTATGCATGTCTGCGTCCAAGTAAAATGCAATTACAAAGACCACCACAGAAGATTATAAGTAATATTTTTATTTCAATATCAAAAGTAATTTAAATGGCTAACTATGTATAAGAAAATAAATGTTAAATATAGTTTAAAGAATAGATTAATTATTATTTAAACTCTTTCTATATAATGAAATTTTAATGGAAGTCACCACGTCTTAAAATGCATAATTGTATTAGAATTTGGTTTGATACAATGATAATCTCTTAAGTTTATCATTAAGTTCATTTAGCCATTCACTTACGATATGATAAAAAGGTTATGTAGGTGTAAAATGTACACATGAGCTTGTTATATAGTTCAGCGTACTTTGAACTTGATGCAAATCATTATATTAATCCTCAAATTATTGATAATCTTAAGAAAAGACTACTCTAATCTTTTAGCATGGTGGAATATATCTCAATATTCTCGTCAAGTTTAGACCTGTTCTCAAAACTTCTCTCGACTTTTTATTAAGATCGAGCATCATGATTCTACAAGAATTGAGACTAGTTTTCAGTGCTTCTCTTGATCTCTTAGAATATTTCTCTCTGTATTCACCTTAATAACTTGAAAACCTCATTTCGATTAATTATGATGTGCATAATTAAAATAGAAATTATATTTCAGATAATTCACTTATCTACCTATTAGACGTTTGTGAATATACTTTTACTAATTGTTTGGATGCTAAATTAAAATATTTCACATTTCATCATATACTATGATAAAAATAAGACAAAATTCATTACTTGTAGTTGTTAGGATGTTGCGGTCTAAATTGAAAAGTCCATAATAACAGACAGAAACCAAAGGCGGCTACAACTCTGTCTGCCATTCGTCAAATTCATCATCAATTTCCTTTCTCTTTCCATCTTCCTAACTACATTTATACTTAAATCAATCAAAATCATCTTCTTCACTTGATTTTTTCTGAAACTGAGCTTAGTTTCCCTCATTCTCTCTTAACAGATTAGTTTACATGGAGATATATGACAGTGCTTCTACTACTCCTTATATTAGTGCTTGTACAAGCCCTCAACATCGTTATGGCACGTTGTTTCTCAGTGCTCCAACTAGCCCTGCTCGTGTCTCCGCTGCTCTCTCTGATGATTTCCACATGAGTAGTGGTGGGGAAGGTGTAAAAGTACCCGGTGAAGTTCCGTTTAATTGGGAGGAAAGGCCTGGAATTCCGAAATCAAGAGATGAGGGGGAGGAGGAGGATTTTGTTTTCGATTTTAGTGGACAGTTGGAAAGAAGCTCTGTTTCAGCTGCTGATGAGCTTTTTGATGGTGGAAAGATTAGGCCTTTAAAGCCACCACCTAGAGTACAATATGAAGCTCATTACAAACCATTCGATTCGCCTAGATCGCCTAAGCAGAGATTCAAGCAAACTTTCTCTCCGCGAAATAAGAAGGAGGTTGATCCATTTGCTGCAGCCATACAACACACTGCTCGAATAGAAAAAATGGAAAAGCCTAAAAAGACGAGATCTTTATCTGTTCCTGATCTGGTGTTTGATCATGAAAGCAATCAGGAGACCACAAAGACTAGCCCATACTCTTTGTGTTCCGTTTCATCATCGATATCATTATGGTACAGGAAATGGAAACTGAAAGATTTGTTTCTATTCAGAAGTGCTTCTGAGGGTAGAGCAAGCAGTAAAGATCAATTAAACAAGTTTTTGAAGAAAACTCGTGAACAGGAGGAGGACGCGAAGACTTCAAGCTTCAGATCAACTGCTAGTAGTGTTGCATCATCATCGGTATCAACCTCCTTGATGAGGAGGAGGGAGATTTCGGCTCATGAGTTGCACTACACGTTGAATAGGGCATTCTCCGAAGAGATGAAGAGGAAAACATTTTTGCCATACAAGAAATTAGGGGTACTAGGTTGCTTAGGATTCATTCCGTCAATGGATGATACAAGTTTTAGAGGTGTTGCTCCTTCTATGTCCATGAATCGTCGTCAATAACATCTCATTTTCTCTTCAATTTGTTACTGTATAAGTGTATATCGTTGTTTATATGAGGACATAAAACATTTATGACCCCCAATCTTCTTGGAAGAATTAAATCTGTTTGTACAAGTATTGTGTTTGAGATATATATTGTCTATCTATGGAACATGTTAGCGCGAGAAAACGATGAAAAAGGAAAAACTTTCATTACTATACATGTCATGAAGTTATATAGATATTTGCATGTTAATCATAAACAAAAGAATCAAATTAACAGTAAATTGGAGTGTGGGTGGAGAACAAAATATCCCCACAATCCTTT